ATAAGCATTAAATAATGCCAAAATGGGGCATTTTCAATGCCTCATTGCTCCTTAATGAGCACGGGCACCCCCCTTTTTTATTTCAGAATTGAAGTGACAAATATTCAGTGGACAAAGTTTGAACAAAAATCTATTGTCACTTTTATTTCAGAGGAATTACCTTAAGACCCAGCTCTCCATTTCGTGTTGGCAAAATATTAATTTATGCCATGCCCAATGCAGGTTATCACAAAATTGGTTTAAGAGCAACATAAACTAAGCACAATAAATATCATTTTTAAGCCAGAAAAGCAATTATTTAACTAAACCATGACATGATGGGTAAATTAACTCTAAGAAAAACTGATTAACTTAACAGACACTTTAAATAATTAGTTAATACTTAGCTCTTACTAACTGAGCTGGAGGTCTGTATGGGAGAATCTTGACTGAGGTCGTGAGTACAGACCGAACGCAGTGAGGTCTGTACACACGACCGAGGTCAAGATTCTCCCATACAGACCGACTTAGCTCGGTTAATAAGATGTTTAATTATATGGCAAAGTTACATGGCAAAGAAGAAAACTTTAATTCGTTTAATGTAACTGGTATCCTTTTTGTCTAGCTTACGCATATGTGCATATATGTTTAGCACAGTTGATGTGATGTCTTGCGGGACTTTATCAACTAAATAAATGTAAATGTAGATGTAGATGTTTGCTGACATTTTGCTTGCGAACGGCAATGAGCTTAACTTAAACCTGCAGAAATTTGCTCGTCCTCTTTACCTTTTTTTGTCATCAGGCCTTTTGGCACTTCCATAAATGATTGAGAAGAAAATAAAAGAAAATGGTGAACATTTTTGTATTTTAGTTTGCTACTTTTTCAACGCAAAATGAAACCGGTCTAGATGACGGTCTAGATGGGAAAATCTAGACAGCGGTCAATATCGATTTCAGCCGATCAAATTTGTGAATTCGGTAGTTCCCAGTCCTTGTGAGACACTGCCATATAATAAATTTATCATAGGTGTTTCTTAATAATGTAATACAGTGTATCTGTCACAATGCTGCAGCTATGATATTACTACACGCAGTATGGGTTGCAGAACTCAACTTCCAAGTCAGTTTGTTCAATGAACTTAGTGCAGAAATCATTATGGCATCAAGTTGTCTGTAAATATAGAGAAACCAAACAAAGCATTATAATCTTAAGTAATAAATGATTGAACTCCTTAACAGGTATGTACAATGTATGTTCCATTAATACTGGGGACCTCTCAGAAGCTGCATCTATGATGATTTACTTTGCTCCCAGTGCATTTTTGTATGGAACTTTTTACACATTACTATCTCAGTCATAATAGTGGTCTCTGTGTTCTACAACAATTAGTATACAAGAACAATACACTCAGTAAGACATTGTTTACAATAAAAATCAATCCCTATATGCAATCTTAAGGACCTTGAATTTATATTTCTTTAGAAATATTTCACCTGGCCATGGTTGCTTTGAAAATCTGTGATGTTTTAATCCAGGCTGCCCATGTGTACACTGTTCTTATATTGACTGACAGGAACAGGGATGTAATCATACTGTATAAAGCTGTTACTTGAACACCACTGAACATACAAAGACATATCAATTATAATATACAGTGTACTTCATTGTTAGTTGTTTACTGAGTGTCTACAGTAGTGAATCAAATGCTAGGGGGATGGTAACAAAACTTTCACAGTGGCAGGCTCTACCCTGAGATGCAAAGCAAACATATATAACTGTTATGAACTTGGCGCATTGCTTTCGAGAGCACATGCAATTTGCTTTAAACAAGAAACTGGAATATTGCAGTAAAACAATGTGCACAGTTCCAATCAAAGGGCCTTCCAGACTGAAAATCAGACTTTGTCAGGATAAATACTGATTTTCTTGTTGACTTAATCTGAATGTGCAGTTCCAGAAGATATCCACACCCAACACCCATTCATGGCCAGTCATTAGAAATTCTAAAGTAACAGGAGGAGGGAGCCCTTAAAGAAAAAAACCTCTGTGTGGGGTATGAATCTTTTCTTGAAGAAAACAATGTCTGAGAAATCATTAATTACAAAATAATGTTTAAGAAATATCTTACCTGGTTATTCCAACTGCCAGAAAATTTTGTAATCTAAACTGTCTGGTCAGTTCATATATTTGACAAGTTGACACTAGGCATGTCTGTAAATTTGTGCGCTTCAACATCACATTACTATGTAGTAGCATTGGTCAACTAAAAACAGCATAATTTGGTTAATTAATATACACTGTACATTATTAGNCAAAGCAAACTTATATAACTATTATGAACTTGGCGACTTGCTTTCGAGAGCAAATGCAATTTGCTTCAAACAAGAAACTGGAACACTGCAAGTTACAACAATGTGTACAGTCCCAATCAAAGAGCCATCCAGGCTGTTGGTTGTACATATAACTGTACAACTCTATATGAGTTCAGCTTCCAAAAGAAAATCAGAGTTTGTCAGGATAAATACTGATGTTCTTGATTACTAAATGTAAATCTGAATGTGCAGTACCAGAAGATATTCACACCCAACACCCATTCATGGCCAGTCTTAAGAAATTCCAAATTAAAGTATCAGGAAGAGAGAACTCTAATAAAGAAAAAACCTCCATGTGGGGTATGAATCTTTTCTTGACGAAAACAATGACGTCTGAGAAATCATTAATTACAAAATAATGTTTAAGAAACATCTTATCTTTCAGAAAACTTTGTAGCCTAGACTGTCTGGCCAGTTCATATATTTGACAAGATGACACTGGGCATGTTTGTAAATTTGTGCACTTCAACATCACATCACTATGTAGTAGCATTGGTCAACTAAAAACAGCATAATTTGGTTAATTAATATACACTGTACATTATTAGGTTGAAATATTGGTGTAGATTGTTGCACACCAACAGATACAGAAACTGTTGGCACCTGAATCATAACAAGTGAAAAATCGTGCATGACACATTTACATGTACATGTAACAGCCCTCCACCTCAGAACCATCACAGATATGATATGATNATGAATCTTTTCTTGAAGAAAACAATGTCTGAGAAATCATTAATTACAAAATAATGTTTAAGAAACATCTTACCTTTCAGAGAATTTTGTAGTCTACACTAGCTGGCCAGTTCTTATATTTGACAAGTTGACACTGGGCATGTTTGTAAATTTGTGCACTTCAACATCACATTACTATGTAGTAGCATTGGTCAACTAAAAACAGCATAATTTGGTTAATTAATATACACTGTACATTATTAGGTTGAAATATTGGTGTAGATTGTTGCACATCAACAGACACAGAAACTATTGGCACCTGAATCATAACAAGTGAAAAATCGTGCATGCGACATTTACATGTACATGTAACAGCCCTCCACCTCAGAACCATCACAGATAGGATGATATTCTGAAACTCTCTGAAATTTCAGATTATTCAAGATTAACATATGCACATACATCATCTAGGTCAACCCTAAAACACTGAATCCGGAAACTGAAATCCGGAATCCAGAATCTGGAACCGAAAACCAGAATCCGGAATCTGGAACCAAAAACCAGAATCCAGAATCCAGATATTATGAATGATGATTAGAAATAATTCACTTCAGCAATGTCTAATAAATAAATATGAGCAAAAATTATTTTATTTATTTTCTTGGGTTTACTTCAGCTACAAACTGCAATTGCTAAAAAATTAATGACTAGTTCTGAACAACCCTTAGCTATACATCTGGCCCATTTGTTCAAAAGCTGCATAAAGCTATCCATTGGGTACATCACTATCCAGTGAGGGTTTGTGATTTTTTTGGTGGATAGAGTTACTCATAGCCTGCGAGCAGGCTCTAGTATCTGTCTCTAGTGTCTGAGCAGGCTAAATAGGTGTCTAGTGTTTTTCTGCATTGGCATNAACAGGCATGTAATTCCTTTCTTTAATATACAGTGTACTCCATTGTTAGTTGTTTACTGAGTGTCAGTAGTGAATCAAATGCTACGGGTTGATACTCCAACTTTCACAGTGGCAGGCTCTGCCCTGAGATGCAAAGCAAACTTATGTAACTGTTATGAACTTAGCGACTTGCTTTTGAGAGCAAACGCAATTTGCTTCAAACAAGAAACTGGAACACTGCAAGTTACAACAATGTGCACAGTCCCAATCAAAGGGCCATCCAGGCTTTTTGGTTGTACATATAACTGTACAACTGTATATGAGTTCAGCTTCCAAACGAAAATCAGAGTTTGTCAGGATAAATACTGATGTTCTTGCTTACAGAATGTGCAGTTGCAGAGGATATTCACACCCAACACCCATTCATGGCCAGTCTTAAGAAATTCCAAATTAAAGTATCAGGAAAAGAGAGCTCTAATAGAGAAAAAACCTCCATGTGGGGTATGAATCTTTTCTTGAAGAAAACGATGTCTGAGAAATCATTAATCACAAAATAATGGTTAAGAAACATCTTACCTTTCAGAAAATTTTGTAAGCTAGACTGTCTGGCCAGTTCATATATTTGACAGCATAATTTGGTTAATTAATATACACTGTATATTATTAGGTTAAAAATATTGATGTAGATTGTTGCACACCAGCAGATACAGAAACTATTGGCAGCTGAATCATAGCAAATGAAAAACCGTGCATGAGACATTTACATGAACATGTAACAGCCCTCCACCTCAGAACCATCACAGATATGATATGATATTTTTAAACTCTCTGAAATTTCAGATTATTCAAGATTAACATGCACCATGCACATACATCATCTAGGGCAACCCTAAAACACTGAATCCGGAAACCAAAATCCAGAATCCGGAATCCGGAGTCCGGAATCCAGAACCGGAAACCAGAATCCGGAATCCAGATATTATGAATGATGATAGCAATAATTCGCTTCAGCAATGTCTAATAAATAAATATGAGCAAAAATTATTTTGTTGTTGTTTATCTTCTTGGCTTTACTTTAGCCACAAACTGTAATTGCTAAAAAATTATTCACTAGTTCTGAACAACCCTTAGCTATACACCTGGCCCGGTTGTTCAAAAGCTGGATAAAGCTGTCCATTGGGTAAATCACTATCCAGTCAGGGTTAGTGATTTTTCGGCTGGATAGAGTTACGCATAGCCTGCGAGAAGGCTCTAGTATCTGTCTCTAGTGTATAAGCAGGCTAAATAGGTGTCTAGTGTTTTTCTGCACTGGCATGTGACCAAGTGCCTTCATGCGGCTTTGCCGCTCATGCCCCGGCCCAAACACGAGAGCCTGCTCATAGGCTAAGTTACCCATCTTTTGTTCAACCTGGCCCTGGTGAGAGCCCGGTTCTTGTCTAGATCAAATTGNAATGTGCAGTCCCAGAAGATATTCACACCCAACACCCATTCATGGCCAGTCTTTAGAAATTCCAAATTAAAGTATCAGGAAGAGAGAGCTCTCATAGAGAAAAAAACCTCCATGTGGGGTATGAATCTTTCCTTGAAGAAAACAATGTCTGAAACATCATTAGTTACAAAATAATGTTTAAGAAATATCTTACCTGGTAATTCCAACTTTCGGGAAATTTTGTAATCTAGACTGTCTGGCCAGTTCATATATTTGACAAGTTGACACTGGGCATGTTTGTAAATTTGTGCACTTCAACATCACATGACTATGTAGTAGCATTAGTCAACTAAAAACAGCATAATTTGGTTAATTAATATACACTGTACATTGTTAGGTTGAAATATTGGTGTAGATCGTTGCACACCAACAGATATAGAAACTATTGGCAGCTGAATCATACCAAGTGAAAAACCATGCATGAGACATTTACATGTACGTTTAACAGCCCTCTAGCTCAGAACCATCACAGATGTGATGTGATCTTTTTACTCTCTGAAATGTCAGATTATTCAAGATTAACATGCACATACATCATTAAGGGCAACCCTAAAACACTGACTCCGGAAACCGGAATCCGGAACTGGAAACCAGAATCTGGAATCCAGATATTATGAATGATGATAGAAATAATTCACTTCAGCAATGTCTAATAAATAAATATGGGGAAAAAGTACATGTATTTTGCTGTTATTTATTTTTTGGCTTTACTTCAGCCACAAACTGTAATTGCTAAAAAATTATTGACTAGTTCTGAACAACCCTTAGCTATACATTTGGCCCAATTGTTCAAAAGCTGGATAAAGCTATCCATTGGGTAAATCACTATCCAGTTAGGATTAGTGATTTTTCAGGTGGATAGAGTTACTCATAGCCTGCGAGCAGGCTCTAGTATCTGTCTCTAGTGTCTGAGCAGGCTAAATAACTGTCTAGTGTTTTTCTGCACTGGCATGTGAGCGAGTGCCTTGTGGCTTTGCCACTCACGCTCCTGGCCCAAACACGAGAGCCTGCTCATAGGCTAAGTTACCCATCTTTTGTTCAACCTGGCCCTGGTGAGAGCGCAGTTCTTGTCTAGATCAAATTGCTCTG